CTGGTTCTGCCGGAGGTTTCTTCCTGTTAAAAGGGAGTTTTTCCTTCCCACTGTCGCCAAAGTGCTTGCTCATAGGGGGTCATATGATTGTTGGGTTTTCTCTGTATGTATTATTGTGCAATCTACTGTACAATATAAAGCGCCTTGACGCGACGTTTGTTGTGATTTGGCGCTGTATAAATAAATTTGAATTGAATTGAATTGAATCTCCTATCTACCACTGTTACCAATTTAGACCAATCAGTCTAATATGTGTCTATGTTAGCTGGGGGGAACCAAACAGGCACAGGAAGAATATGCAGTTCAATGTCTTGTCATGGTATGTTTCAGTGTGCTCAACATCCCACAAATTTCACCTCTGGGGCAGTTTCTGACAGACCAGTTTGTACAAAAAGCCTCGTGGATCTCTGCAGGTTTGCATCATAGTTTCTGTGGATGATTCTCACCAGCTTTTTAAACAAAGTAGGAGCCTGAGAAACTCAAATCAGAGGGAAAGGACGTTTTAAGCAGTTCACATTGAGCACCGCAGTTCATGCAGCACTTTAAACATCTGCAACAATGGCTTTTAGGACGTCGCCAAATAAAACGTGTCCATGTAACGATGTATGGAAAAAACAAACACACCTGAAAGGGAGAGCCATTAACACTCCTTACATCTTACTGTGTGCAACTATCAAATAACTCCAAACAAAACAAACAGTTCAACAGTTATTATTTCATTTTGATTTCTTTAAATTCAGTTTTATTTATTTCTTGCGTTTTGTAAATGTTTACTTTTAATTTCATTTTATTCATTTCAGGCTGGTTTATGTGGCTGATGTTTCTCAAGCACAACATTAAATATCAAAGAGCCGTCCCTGTGTTCATAACGATCTGCGTCAGAGTTCATTTATGTTTGCGTTGACCACACTGACAAAGATGTTTTCTGTGTATTTTTTATTTTATTTTAGTTTGTACGCAACATCATTTCATTCGTTTTTTTTTCTTTTTTCTATTATGATTATTTTATTTCAGTTTATTGCATTTCTCTAACATGTATGACTAAGATGCCATAGGATTTTGTTAAATCACAGTATTTAATGGTCTGAGAAGGAGAGAAGGTTGAGCGTCAGCTGATAAAGACATTATAGCCACATTGTTTGTAAAAAAAACCACTAAATATACTTCAGTAAGGACAGATCATTAGAAAGACTGAACCTGAGTTATTGATGAACAGATACAGATTGATGTTTGGTGGTTAGCCCATCCTGGCTGTGAAAGGGATTAGAGCCCCTGGAGCCTCGACGCTGGTGGTGGAGATAAAGGAGGCTTGAATGGAGCTTGAGTGATGAGAGGTGGAGATGGGGAGGAGGTGGGTTGCACAATGGCATCTGCGAGGACAAAGACAGATGCACACTGATATTTAAAGTACGTGGCATGAACGCTGATTGGCCTGGAGAAGGCCGGGTGAAGGTGATTGGACTAGACCAGTGATGTCACAAAGAACTTGACGGCGTATAAAGTTTAGATTTAGCTGGAAGCACCTGGGAGCGGACACATGTGAGACCATAGATCCTCCTCTTGAATTTAAGCCGCCCTAAATAAGAGCAGCTTTTTCTTTCTGCACTAAAATTCAGTTTTCAGTCATTAAAGCAAAAAAAAAAGAAAAAAAGAATTCCCATTGCTATTACAGTTTTTCTCGATTGCTAAAACACATTTCTTGAAACTACGCCTCATATCCTCACAACAGTAAACACAAATCCATAACATCTCACTCAATTTCCCAAACATCCTATTTCCAGGTCAAAATGAAGCTCTACACCCGTTTATTAACAGTCTAACAGCGCGTCTGTGATGCAGTGAATGCTTGGACTTCCTCACTGGCACAAATCTTCACTGGCGGTGATGTGTGGAAGGCGGTGATATCTCTCTAACCCAAGCTACTTCACACATATTATAACCTAAGAGCTACTTCAGAGTATGAATATCCTCTCTCCCAGGTTTTCTCGAACTCTCCTTCTTCTTTCGTGCTGTCTGTTGTTGGCCACCCGGCTCCACACTCATGTCAAGTTTCGGCTTGACGGAATTGCACAGATGTTGGTTGTAAGGAGCATCGCTGGCTTAACGTGTGTATAAGTGCTTAGCGATGAAAGTACATTCTTATTACGTCCTCATAGGTCCAAGCCGACCTGTCATGTTTTTTCTGATTAAGACACAGCAAGAAAGTCAGTGTGAGGGCCAGCAGTCAGTGCCAATTAGGCTCACACTGGCGGTCCGAGTACAAGTGGCATGGCTTGAGGAGTGCTGGGGGGGATACCCCTCGTGGTAAGGTATCTTGATAGTGTGCGTGCGGTCACATTGATGTGTGGACCGTTTACCTCTCCCCCTACGTCATGACCCAGTGTGACAAGCACTTGATACAAATAACCCGCCCATGGAGCCAAGTGATGGTTGCCCCCCGTTTCCATCGTTTTAGTCAAGATGTATATCTCGGATGCTGAAAATCGCACAATCGAGCAAGTTACGGGCTCATTGTTGCGAGGCGGAAAGGCTATGGTCCGTTCCAGGTTAATTCTAAACAAGAGAGTAGTCGCGAAGCAATATAAAGATATTAAAATTTCGTATTTCTAGAGCCTAGATCTTTTTGAAAGAGGTACGCTGTACCAGTCAGTTCAAGTGTGTGCTAAGATTGCTGGCATAATATGGACCTCATACTCTAGTGCTATGGAAGACACTAGACGATGTTAAACAAAGTGTTATTCAGATAAGCTTCAGACAATACACCTAAAGTCAAACAACACCAATATTCGAGATTTGCAGTTTTCACTCTTTTCACTTGTATAAATGTGCAATATAAAGTTTTCGTTTCAAAAATAGAGTAAGTAACACTATCTTTGCCCTTTCTTTCTCATACCGGTAATTGTATTTTGTCTTTTCATCGTGGTAGGGCATCTTGGTTTCATTTTATCGTAAAGAGAAGCATTGTGGAGAGGCTGATGGCATTTATGCCTCGAAAAAGATGATCATCCTCAATCACTCTCCTTTGAATCTCTTGCAGGCGGATTACATTATTTGCAATTACCATGTTTACAAGTTCCCTCTCTTGCTCCTCCGACAAAAGCCTTAACCTGCCTCCACCAGGTGGTCGTCTCTGTGTCCTACAAAAATAGAAGCACTCATTACTGTAACTGTCACACATTCATTTTACAGGAAAATAATGGAAACATACTGAAACTCAAGACACATAAGTTCAGTAACTTAAACGTTACTGTACAAAGCAGTCTTACTGCAAGTACACCTACCTGTTTTCCTCCCTGAAGGTTCTGATGATGGAGGCAACAGTGAAGCGACTCAAATTTGGTTGTACTTGTTGCCCAGCCTCCCTCATAGTCATCCCATGGACAAGGACATGGTCAACTAAAGTGGCTCGAATTTCATCCAAGACTGACTGTCTTCTTGCCCTTGCTCTTCCCCTTCCTTGTCGCCATCGTTCTCCACCTCCTTCACCACGTCCTCCTCCTCCTCCACCTCTCCCTCCTCCTCCACCACCTTCCTGTTGTCCTAGACCACCTTCTCCTCCTCTTCCACCACGTCCTCCTCTTCCACCACGTCCTCCTCTTTCACCACGTCCTCCTCTTTCACCATGTCCTCTTCCTTTGCATCTCTTTGGATCCATTGTTTCAAACCTGAATGAGCTGACTTTGGCCCTTTTATCTATCCATTGCAGGTTCTGATTGGTGTGTGCTAAATTTTGACTCCTAGTGTTTCCACCTGGTTAATTGTGTGCTAATTGAGCTCAAGCTATGCTGACTTAAGTTAACATTATTGCATGCTAGTGCTTTCTAAATGACTACATGGTGTAAGCACTGTAAAATGTAGGGATTTGTGTGTAGAGTTTTGCAGTAACAGTTCACCAAATTTGAGTCATGTGTCAAAGCAGGGAATAGTGTTTATAGTTCAGGGAAATGGGTGAGCTTTTTGAACAGTAGCATTACGGTTTTGAAATTTTAGTTTAGAGGCCTGGTTATAGTGTTTAAGCAATCGAGAAAAACTGTAATATTATAAGATGCCTGTTACTATGAGACAGCCTTTACAAGAATAATGTAAGATTACTCTTTCCAGTTTCTCCATGCGTGCTTGAACCATAGCGTTCAGGAGATCCTTCCAGTGTACAGTCCATGAAAAAGGAGGGTGAGGGTGGTCTGATAGAATGGCGTCCTTCAAGTAAGGTCCAAGTCTGGAAAATGCAAATGGGTCAGCCATAATGATCTAGAATCAATAATGACTGGTGAGGTGTGAGTATTGCAGCTAATAGTCAGAGGATTGATGAATGCTCATAACACTGGAAACTGGATATAATCAGGAAAATCAAGAGGAAACTTCCAATGCTGAAGTGTTAAAAACTGCAGTTTTTCTAACAGCCATTTGAGGGTCCTCCAAAAAAACCCTCACGTACTAAAATGCAAGTAAACAATTGCAGCACAGTAAAAAAAAAAAGGAATCCTCTTTGAGCCATTACTTGTGTAAAGTATTTTCCCAAAAGACAAAGACACAGGCAACAGGTAATACTGAACTAAATGTAAAACCT